AAAAGCCCACAGATAAAAAAACATAATTTCAAAGCAAAAACAAAATCCAACTTCAATAGCATCTTTAAAAACTATAAGTACCGTAATGTATTATTGATCAGACTAAACAAACCAAAATAATTAAAAATAAAATCAAGATAACTCAAATCGTACGAATGAGTTTTTATTCAATAAAACTACAGATACCAAAATGCACTAACACAAACAGAGCATTTATATATAGAAATACGATGCATTCCCGTTTCATCGTCTACATACACGCGTGTTAGCAGACGCAGCTATTTATACACGCCTCAGTGAGATGCTTACCGTAAACTTCCACCGAAACACTTTTATTGATACATTTTTTTGTTTGGATTAATTATTCGGAAAAATAGACTTTCTACTTCGATTGGTGATTTCTGAAAATGATATTCTTATACAGTATTAAGACTAGGATGTATTGCTTTTTAAATTTAATTGTTATTACACAGGTAATTATGGTCAAGAAAAATGTAATGTTGTACTGTAGGCATGTTCGTAATAACGTGTTGTTTATATTTTGTTCACTGTATAACCATAATCACTAACGGAATGTTTTCTACTCAATATAATGTGTTGTTATAATAATACTTAATATATCTGAACAATGAAACAAAATCGTAAAAGGATGAATTAAAAACTATTTACTTGGTTTTTATCGATCGTACTCTTTAATTTTCAATCGTGTATTGTCCTAAATTAATGGCGTTAATGTTGCCTTCCTTCCTGCAATACATAATTGGCATTTCATAGGTAATTCATGGATTTTTTTGTCGATCACATAATTTTTGCTTCCTTGATTTTATTTTGAGTCTATCAAATTGATTGTTAAGACAATGATTGTATATGTTTTAATGGATATAGCGTATTGCGATACGTTGGGTCGTCACGTCATTGTAAGCAGTGTGTACATGTGCAGCCTGTCGGGCTGTCCGCGAGCCGACCGCTCCCAGCTGCAGCCGCACTCGCAGGAGCTCAAGTGCCCCACGCCGGGCTGCGATGGCTCCGGACACGTCACCGGCAACTACTCTTCGCACCGCTCGCTCTCTGGATGCCCGCGCGCCAATAAGCCCAAGAGCAAGCCCCGGGATGGACAGGACTCGGAGCCACTCAGGTAAACGACTCCAAGTAATAACCTAGTACTAAGCGCTTTCCAGCTTCTTGCATGCCAAAAAACTCGAGGATAGGTCGGACTTGGTGTTACTTAGATGACGTATATGTTGGTGCTTAAGTACTACTCCTCGTAGCGCTCGGTAACCTGCTGCCCGGACTGCAAGCTCAAGAACAAATCTCAGAACGGACAGGATTCGGAAGTAAAGTAATTACCATAATCAGTCTTGCAGTTTAAGAATTCCTAAATGTTATGTACTACAACATCATGTTATATTAAAAGTATGTGGCGGCGAATCAATGATAGCTATCTAACTAGAACAAAAAACTGTTTCATCTATCGTCTTTGATAAAATCAAATCAGGTTGTCATTTCAACTTCATGCGTCATATCTAAAATTTCTCTAATACCAAATTTTTCAAATCACTTAAAGATAAGCCCTTTTTTATACATTTCAAAGAATAACATTTACATATAGTATGTTGATTATTTGCACGCTGCTTAGATGCCCTATACCGGGCTGTGACGGATCTGGACACGCGACAGGGAAATTCTTATCGCATCGGAGGTAAGGCCACGTGCGCACATACGTTTATACATAGAGACTACTAGCGTAATGTTGCAAATGTTATAAGATTTTATTTATTTTTTTAATTAATGTAATGGCTTTTTTTATCAGCGCTTCCGGCTGTCCGATAGCGAATAGGAACAAAATGCGGGTCTTGGAGAGCGGCGGCACAGTAGAGCAACACAAGGCAGCGGTCGCAGCGGCCGCCTCCGCTATAAAGTTCGACGGAGTCAACTGCCCTACGCCCGGCTGTGATGGCTCCGGGCATATAAACGGCTCTTTCCTAACGCATCGCTCCCTTTCCGGGTGCCCCGTCGCAGGCTCGTCCACGCCTACCCCGCAGCCCAAGAAGGCGAAATACCCGGATGACATAACACCCTTATACCCAAAACCATATTCAGGTACATTTATATCAGTGGGATTTATTAATTCGTTAAGACTTTGATAAATCATTGAATTGCGTTCTATATGCACCTTGTAAAATTTTCATTTGTCATTTGTAGGTATGGAGATGAACATGCAAACTGGAAACGGCGAGGATCTTATGACTCTCGAACAAGAAATAACAGAACTCCAGAGAGAGAACGCCCGCGTTGAATCGCAAATGATTCGACTGAAGTCGGACATCAATGCAATGGAAACTCATCTCAGTCACGGTGAACGGGTAAGTAATTATGACATAGAAACCTAGGTAGGGCTGAATCAATAAGTCATAGACATTACATAATAATCTTTCAACGGTCAAAAATTTCGTAGATGGTACTGTCATGGCTCCAAACATCCAGCTTTGAGTGCTACTAACATCTTGCAAACATTTGTGAGTACAGCTAACTATTCGAGTACACCCTCGTAACGCAAAATAGCCAATAATTAAATGATTAATTGATTGTTGAATTTTGATATTGATACTTTTCTTTATTTGCAGGAGAATCAGCTGATATCCCAGCGGAACAACAACCTCAATGAATATTATGAGAGCCTCCGCAATAACGTTATAACGTTACTGGAACACGTTCGGATTCCTGGTGGAGGTACGGTGCCCGTGACGAACGCTGGGGGCACACCCGGTGCACCACCGCCGCCCGTGCCCGGCGATAAGCCCGCCCACGACAACTTCGACTCCTATCTCACCAAACTGCAGACCCTGTGCTCGCCAGACGGCTACTGCCCCGATGAGAACCGCCCGATATACGAAACGGTGAAAAACGCGCTTCAAGACTTCACAGTGCTACCAACCCCCATTTAAGGTTCAACAAGCGCCGCCGAAACTGAGCGACAATAAATACATTGTCCGATTCAGATCGACGGAGCTTACACGGTGATACAAAAAGACATAGTGCAATTTAATAACGAAAAATTAGAACGTTTAGCTATTAACCAAAGTTTATAAACTTTCAAAGAAAAACGGTTAAAGCAGTGAATATTATGTGTATAAGAATATGTATATTATATAACGCATCCGAATACTTAAGATTATATTCGGACTTTATGTGTTCTGCTTAGGTAACAATGTTTTGTGAACCATTGTATACGATGTGTGACTTGTCTTCGACGTACACACAACACTTTAAAATCTTTCGAATATAAAAAAAAAAACTAAAGAAGGACTAATAGTAAGACTTAAATAAAATTTAAACATTGTTACTCGTATATGCTTAACATAAAACTAAATGTTAGGAAAAAATTTATACTATTGCATATAAGTGAGTTAACATACACGAATATTATTGTCAGATTTGGTATGTAAATATTGTACGTAATTCTATATTAATAGAAATTATTGTCGTTGGGCTACGACAGTATTTAGTGGAAGGATAATTTTTTTTAGCCCAAAAAAGGTATTACGTAGTAATTAAGATGACATGTTAACGAATATTTACGTTTTACGTTCTAAATACTGGGAATGTGCCAAATGCTTGAGTCACAGCTGATCCCTCACTGATATGTGGACTAAGCTACGGAGATAAAGATTTTAAAAACGAAATTATAAACTCCTTAGAGGACTCTCTAGTCACTTTTGTAAATAAAATTGTGAATACATAGTTGACACGTCATATGGACGTTTTTATTTATATTAGATAATAATGAGATCTCATTAGTAAGGTAAATAATTCAGTCATTAATTAACCAATTTTAGAAATAATGAAAAACTTTCTTTGTTAGTCATGTTTCACTTTACTGTGATTATGTTACGTGTTACAACTTATTTATTGTTAACTTTACGGAATGTGATAGCTTAATTGTCGCGAGTTGGTGTTGTTTTGCAATGTTTTCATTTGGCAAAATCGTACACAAAATGTGTGCAATAATTGTTTCAAATTATACCTATTTCATAATGTTTTGTTAAAATTATATTATTTAAAGCTTAAAATTTCTCACTTCAAAATGATACACAAATCGGAAATTATATTCGTATTTAAATACTAAACCTACTACTATGTTACTACTCTGATGTCATATACGTTTCTGTAAAATATTGAGTATGTGTTGTTAAAGAGAATAAAAATAATAAATACAAATAACTTGGTGTAATTTTTTCTTATTGCATATCATAAAACCAAACATGCCATTTAGCAATAGATCGACCTAAGGATGCCAAAAAATTCTAAATAAATCGTAGAAAAATCGTCTACGAGAATAAAAGGCGCAATCGTTCGATAACTTAGTTGTCGCCGATTGTAACACGAAGTCCATGAAAATTATCGGAGAATAATTCTAATAGCCTCGTACGCATGGATATCAATTTAGATTATCGGACATGCACTTAGTCCTTCGACGTACATTTAAGCTAAAAAGACTCTAAAATTATCAGACGAAAATGTATACGAAAGCCAAAATATTGTACAGTATGAGACGCAAGGTTAAAATATTAGTTTCGAAGATTTACACGAAGGGATTTATACAGGCAAAGTTACGCCTGTTATACCATCGTAAAATACTTTACCTTTCTTACGGTACATATTAACATTTCGATCAATTTGACTGATCACATAAAGCGAAAAAAGCATGCATAAGCATTTTCTGCCCAGTTGTTTATTTTCCTTAAGTTTTATTTTTCACAAAATCAAAGCTGTAATTCGATATTTTAAAGAATAATTTTAAAACAGGAATCATCTTTTACTTTAGGAAGTCGTATTGATAATCTTAACTTTTACCTTTTTGGGAAAAAAAGTTAAAAGTCATTGTCATTTTTTCAAAATCTGTCAAATGTCAATGTCAATAACACATGTGTCTTGCTCATAATATATTAATAAGCAAAAAGCGATACAAAGTTTTAATCAAATAAAAACATATCTCCTAACTTTAAAAATGAAAGTCCAAAATAAGACAAAAAAGGTATATTGACATTTTTATACGAAAAGTAATCTTAAATCTTTTTTAGTTAAACAAGTATTTATATTTTTCAGAATCGTTATTTTCAAGAAGAAAAGAATGAAAAACCAAAAAAATCCGATTCTAGTACTGACGTCCAGGTTTTTAATATAAAAATAACACCACATACTATAAAAAAACAAAGATTTAAGGTAAACATACTACGAAAATACCAATGTATTGATGAATAACCAAAAAACTTTAACATCATGTTATACGATTTTTGCGTGAAAAATATTTAATTTTATGCTAAATATTTTAGTTTTATATGTATGGATTGTGTGACTGAATTGAAAAATAATATTTCAGGAAGCTCGTATTGTAAAAAATGTAGTTAAAAGGGAACGTGATGTAAAATTTCCCGGTAAAGCGCCTATAGACCCGAGTTCATTAGAGCGCCATTCTAGAGGTGAAGGCTTGCAAGGGAGAGGAGTAAGACATCCATTATATGCATTAAAATTAAAAAAGAAAGAAAATAAATATAAGTATGCTCAAGAACAAGCAGCTCGAGCGGAAATTCTTCTCACAGAAGATCAAGGGTATTGCATATTTTTGTAATTATCATTTAAAAAAAAAAGGGATCAATACATGATTTAATTAGCTACAAAATACTGCTGAAATATGCAGAGTCTCATAAAAGTTAATACAATTTTACAGTTTTTTTTCTTTTGAAGGTTAATTGAAGTTGGTGAAGGTGAGAAAACAACAGCAGTCTCTCAGAAAATAATAGCAGAGAATGTAGATATAGCTGCTGCAACAAAGATATTTGATTTGAAGCTTGACTTTGGACCGTACCGAGCTAAATATTCACGCAATGGTAGACATCTGCTTCTGGGTAGTAAACAAGGTCACCTTGCTGCCTTTGACTGGGTTACCAAGAAATTACATTGCGAGATTAATGTAATGGAGAGTATTCATGATATAAGGTGCTGACTTCATGTTTAATTAAAAATTAAAATTTAAAAAAAAAATTCTATCAAACACCACTTACAGCTCAAGGATTTTTAGTTTCAGGCAAATCAATAAATAACTTTATTCCCATGTATTTTAAACTTTAACTCTTTATGGTATTTAAATTGTGATTTTTTTATGTATGTTTAAAATTTTTGAGTGTTTCAACATATATCATGTGCATAAATTTTTATTTCCAGTTGGCTTCATGTAGAAACTATGATAGCAGTAGCACAAAAAGAATGGCTATATATTTACGATAATACAGGAACTGAGCTGCATTGTGTCAAAAAAATGGATAAAATACTTCGCATGGAATTTCTTCCTTACCATTTTCTATTGGCTGCTGTTGTAAGTTAGAAATTTTTAATTTTGCCTTAATCATAATATGTAAAAAATAATTTTATAAACACTAAAGTTTGGATGGCTAGATATTTGTTATTATATATCTCCAAAATATCTTAACAGATATCGATGTTGCAGTTAGAAGCTAAGAAAAAATTAAATGGCTTAGATATGTAATAAAATTCCATTTATGTAATAGTCTTTTTAAATGATGATTGATAATTTCAGAATGAATATGGATTTATGACTTGGTTGGATATATCCATTGGAGAAATAGTAGGCCACTATAATAATCGTATTGGAAGAACAACGGTTATGACTCAAAATCCTTATAATGCTACTATTTGCTTAGGTAACTCTAAGGGTGTTGTTTCTCTATGGGCTCCCAATGTTAAAGAACCCTTGGCTAAGATATTATGCCATAAAACACCCCTTACAGCAATCGCTGTTGACAATAGAGGGATGTAAGTACAATTTACAACATGTCTAATTCTATCTGCTTTTTTTTATTATTTTCAGTTGAGTCTCTTTATTGAATTATCGAGAATGAAAGGGATTGTTTGTAAATTTATGCCAAGGTCTTAATTATTGTCTATCTCTATTTATGTACATTTTATTAACATTATTAACCATATTTTCATGTCAACATTTTCTTCCGAGGCTTGACAGATTAAAATTAACATTTTAAATCAAGTATTTGTTTTTTATTAAAGGTACATGGCAACTTCTGGTGTAGACAGAAGCATGAAAATATGGGATATAAGAAATCTTGATGGTCCATTGCAGCATTACAAGTTAAGAACACCTCCTGTAGATTTGAATTTCTCACAAAAGGAAATGCTTGCAGTTGGGCTTGGAGATGTTGTTGAAATATACAAGTATGTATTAGTTAATATTTAAAAAAAAATAACTTATACTCTATATTTCTAATGGTACAGACTTACATTTTTCCATAATATTAATTGAATACCATTTTTTATAGTAATTGTTGTTCACAAACTACGGAAAAACCATACCTAAGGCATCGTATGGCTAAATCCATATGTAACTTTAACTTCTGTCCATACGAAGATGTTTTAGGAGTTGGAACAAGCAGTGGTTTTACAAGTATTATAGTGCCAGGTAAGTCGATATTATATCGAATATTTACAAAAAGGAAGAATAGAGTTTGCCCCGTATTTATAAAGTTAACAGAACTCTTTACTTACTTTTATTACTAAAAGAAAATATTATTGAAAATAAACAAATTATTATGTTACAGGAAGTGGTGAACCTAACTTTGACGCTTTGGAAAGCAATCCCTTCCAAAATAAGAAGCAAAGAAAAGAGGCCGAGGTTAAAGCTTTGCTTGAGAAAATACCCGCGGAACTTATTACTCTCGATCCATTTGATGTTATGCAAGTGGATGTACCTTCAATGAAAGACCAAATGGAAGCAAAGAAGAAACTATTGGTAAGTTTTATAATAATACTAATATAATATACGCAAATCTAACAGCTTTTGGTCTACGTAAAATAAGTAATTTTGATAATTTTTTCCTTCTTAATTACTTTTACAGCTTAAATTAATTTATTCAAGTTATTTTTTGAATCGGAATTTTGTGTAGATATTATATATTGATAATAATTTCAATGTTATCTTAATTGCAGCATATTAAACCCAAGAATGTCGATTTCACTCCGAGGCATAAAAACAAAGGAAAAACAAACATAGCAAGGAAGAAAATCATAAAGAGTGCAATGAGAAAGGTAAAAATATTAAATTTATTACAACTAGCAACCCATAATAAGTAGTAACATTTTTTTTTAGTACCATAGCCAATGTTGTAACAATTTCATAAATTCCAGGAAATAATTGACCAAGCCATTGAAGCTCAGAAGATGTTAGAAGAACCGCAGAAGGAGAAAGAATCTGCTCCAAAACAATCATTTGGAGTACTAGATAGATTTGTGCCAAAAATTAAATCGAAAAAATAAAATTAAACATAAGTGTCTTTGAACTTGGTTTTTTTCTTAATAATTCTGTTCTAAAATATGTTAGAGGTAGTTGATACTAGCGTCCATTCAATGCTTTTTGAAACAGTAGGTCTTATTTACCGCTATTATCTGTTATTTCATTGAAAATAGCTATAATTCACTAATAAATAAAACAGTTTTTAAACTTTAAGATGATATATTTTAGTGTTGTATTTACATGATTCATTTTATCCTTATATGTACATCAATATAAATTCAACATGATCACAAAATGTAAACAAAATATAGAAACAATGTCTTTGATTTGTGTAAATAAAAATAAAAAAAAATTATGATTTCATTAAGTATTCTTAACAAGGTATATCAAATAAATCACACAATCCTTCGCTGCCACGCAGCGAGAATGCAAAATCTTGTTTGGTTATTGGCGGACTCAGTCTTAATAAATAGTCTGAAAAAAAATGCCTTTATGACTGAATATTCAAATGACTGTCATAGCTGATTCCAGCCTTTCATTGTTTTAGAAGCTTCATAATTTCAGTGGCCTTGTTCTGTATATACTTACTTGAATGATGATATGAATCTCCACAATTATTTGTATAGCTCTGTACTTCATCATTTAAATTCTCCTCCATATTAACCTAGAATAACATATAAGTTAATACCAACACCTTATATCCCAATTTCAGCAATGTATATGTTTGACAACAACACAGATAGATAACTATACTAGTACTAGAAGTATTTATTACCTTTTCTTTTTCTGCATCACATAAAAGTATAACTCCAATCTGTTCTGTTGACTTCACATGTAAACTGTAATTTGAATCCTTGTCCTGAAAAAATAATTATTTGTAACTTATGTCACCATAAAACAATCTTTATCTTTAAAATAAGCAAAATAAATTACAAGATTAATAGAATGTCATTTGATTCATGCTGTATCAAACCTTTAGAAAAAAGGGAAGGTGGATAAAGATAATGTCATTTAATTTAATTAAAAATATATACCTTGCTAGTTGGTGAGTTAACAGCCAAACTTGCACCAAGAGGAACTTCTAAAACTAATACTTGACCATCCTTAAAACAGTTCTTGACATCATCTTCTGTGACATAGGACAATGTGTGATTATCTGTGTCGTCCAGAACATTTTTTAAACTTTGTTCAATATAATGAAGGTGTCTGAAAAAATTTAATTTAAACAAATAAAATCAACATGAAAAACAACAACCACAGAAGATAGGCATTAAGTAATTCTGCATTTTAATGATACTTGTTTGCCATCTCATTAAGATAAAAAATTCTCTTGCATGTAACTTACTTATCAATCACAACTTCATGTTCCTCAAGGCGGCCAATCTGTCTTCTCAATAAAGTGACTCTGTCTCCTATTTCATTTGAAGTACAATCTGGACCAACACCTCTGCGAATTCACCGTCAATTTTAAACGTTAACTTTCCTAAATGTAATAATTTCCTTAAAAATTTTACTTACTTCCACTGTATGCTATTTTTACTGCGTTTTTCAATTAAACCAATACCTTCTAAAACATTGGTTATATCATATATTCTCCTTTTTTGTCGAACAGCCAACAAATCAGTTGCCTTAAAGCACACATTAAATTTACAATTCGATTAATTATTTTGAATTTCATATTTTTGGTGGGCAAAATGACAAGGTAGCAAGTAGTCTGTAGTCAGTACTTACAATTTTCAAGTCTAAAACACCGTCTTTGGCCTTTTGTAACAAAGAAACAAACCGAGTTGTAAGTAATCCCAAAGATTTTTCATTTCTTTTGTATACATCGGCCATTGCAAAAGGGAAAATAATATGAAATCAAAAATAAGTCACTTTTTAAGATTTTGCGTAGCGGCGGGATCTCAAGTTGGTAAACATGGTTTTTGAATAAAGAACAGATAAAAAATTAAAACAAAATGCCAACTACCTCTAGCCACAGAATATAAAACAACCACGCGGCACTCTAAGTGTGAAAAAAAATCGTTAAAAATTACATAGCAGCTAGATATTTGATACAAATCTCCAAATGGATGAAATCTAAATAAGATTAAGAAAATCAAAGTTTGTATCAATCATAATACTTTTTTGTATCCTATTCGCTGTTCCTGTAAAAATCTTCATATAAAAAGTTAATGTCAACAATTTAGTGTTATGGCAAACCTGCGGAAATAAATGTCAAAAACATATGTTTTTTCATAAAAGTCATAACATTTGTTCAAGTTTGAAAAATCACTTGATTTGTTTCTAACTTTTTAAATATAAAATCAATAATTGATGTCTCATAACAGAACTTTAATATTACTTACCGATACAATAAAATACAATGATAATAGTGACTCCAGTAGTTGGAGTGATATGAGTTTTGTAAAATCAGAATCATCTGAAGACGACGATGAAGATGATAGGTTATTTTTTCCATTGATGCACTATTTATCACGATTACGAAGAAAGAGATTAGACGAATATTTACACATGGTGGATTCATGGTCTGATTCTGAATTTAAGAATCGTTTACGCCTTTCTCGTAAAACTGCATACACCCTTATTGGTAATAGGTTATACTAATAATATTCATGTTCAATTAAGAATACGGTAATACATTTATATTGTTATTTCAGATGAATTAGAAAAGTCTGGATTTATAGCACAACACAAATTTGGTTTAAAGCCTCTGGAACCAAAGTTGTGTTTTTATATATTCTTGTCATTTATTGCAAATACTGAACCTCTAACACCAATTGCAACAAGATTTGACATTTCAGTCTCATCAGCTTTTCGAGTAATAAGAAGAGTAGTAGCTTGGTTACTGACAAAATTGAATGATGTTATAAAATGGCCTGCAAACTACACAGAAATACAGACAACTTGTGATGATTTTCAAACTAAAACAGGAATATCCGATGTATTGGGAGTAATTGATTGTATGCATATAAAGATTGAAAAGCCAAAAAATGCAGCAGCTTATTATAATTCTAAAGGATATTTTTCACTTATATTACAAGCAACATTTGATGCAAATATGAGGTTTATTAATGTTTATTGTGGAGAACCAGGATCATCAAGTGCTGCCAGAGTGTTAAGAAAGTCTCCACTATACCAGACAGCATGTCAGAATAGAGAAAGATTATTGCCACAGAATACTTTCCTCATTGGACATTCAGGGTACTCCTCACTACCTTGGCTTATGGGACCATTTAGGGAAAGTAATAGATTAACAGTGCAACAAAGAGAGTTCAATACATTACATGCCTCTGCAAGAATAGTTAGCAAGAAAGCATTTAAGCTCCTAAAGAATAGATTTAAGAGAGTAAAATATTTTGCGGTATATAGAAATATTGCTTTTATCATAGATACTGTTGTAGCAGCATGCATTTTACACAACTATTGTGTCAGTGAAAATGACCATTTTAATCTGACTGATTCATGAAGAAATGAACAATTCACATTTGGCTAAGCGTAAAATTTTTATAGCAACTTCTTCTTCTTCCTGTGAAATTATTATGTTGAACACTTTAATGCGTAAAAATTATATTGGCACTAAATGTGCTAGTCATTACAATAAGAGTTAAATATTAAAAGACTGGACACAACATATTAATCATGAAATAAATATTGGTGGTCATATTTCTATTTTATTTTACACTATATAAACAATACTATGTACATTGCATGGTTGTGTATATGTCTACCACTCATGACGCATTCCAGCCAGCTATCTCACTTCGCAAGTATACTATTTTTAATTAAATAACCTTAATTATAAAGTTATGTACAAATTATGCAATTATTGTTTTAAAAACTTCAATATCACTGTGGGTGTAGGAATGCCCTTAACAATGCACATTTCTCTCTTTCTATTTTAAGTATTTCTTCTTGCATTTTCTCTTTTAATTGTAACTTTTTTAAAGCTAAACTTTCTTTTATTTCCAATTCTTTTTTCCTTAATTCCAATTCTTCCTGTTTTAGCCTCAGGCTTCTTTCATATCTTTGATCTCTTAATTCCTTCTGCTCTTCTTGTCGTTTTAAATAATCTAGCCATTGTTTATCTAATTCAACTTTTGCTTTTCTTTCTGTTCGTATTTTGTGGTATGGTGAACATGATAAAATTGTATTTTTGTTACTTTGCCCTCTGTCACACTGTGCAACACCAGAAGCCAGTCTGTATGTTTCGTTATCATCATTATATTGCCCTAATATTTGATGCATTTCATTAAAATATTTAAATGTCAAATTGCCTTGTCCATTCTCAATGCTGTCTTTGTACTTTTTGGTAAGAGCATTAATTTTCCATCGAACTTGATCTGGTGTTACCTGTAATTAATATTACATTAATTATCTCATATCAAGAGCTATATTAAGAAACAAAATTTTCTGTTACCTCAATATTTAGTGCCTTCAATTCTTCGGCCATTGAAATCCACATTTTTGATTTTCTCTTTGGATTATCAATCATGTGTATTTTAGATTCATATAAATTTAAAAGTAGTAATGTTGCATTTCGTGTCCAAATTATGTCTACAATAAATATATTAAGTATGAACAATATTTTAAACTTGTGAATGTAATTTTCTAAAATAATACATACTATGTTTGCCTGTTTCGTTAGTATCAGTTTCTTCGGATTTCATTCCATTAGAATGATTATACTCAGGTATGACGTTTTGTTTATATGTGGCTGCTAAAATATTAAAGAAAAAAGAGGTTAATAAAAAATACTTCTTGATATTGGTGTGTAAAGTAAAAGTCCATGTTTAAATAAAATAATATGTAGTTAGCAGAATTGAATTTCTTTTCCTTACATTGATTATCCAGCATAGCTAAAACTGTAACATTGCTATCAATATTGTCTTCCATTCTAATAAACTTTGTTATTGTTTGTTATTAACAGATTTTATGTTGTTTGATTAACTTAAATGATTGAATGTTATTGTGGCGGACTTTATAGTTGGTAAACAATAAATATTCATCATTATACTGTTATTAATATAATTAATTAAATAACAATATCAACACAACAAGTTGACATAATAATGTCAAATTTCACAGATAAGAGTAAAATAAAGTTAAAGACAGTGAAATATTAGGTGCCTTACAATAATTTTTGTGCATGATGAGTGCTTGGAAATTAAGTTTTAATAATTTTAGTTTAACTATTGACTAATCTACTATTATAGAAAGTTATGATTTTAATTGGACATTTTGTTTTACTAATTTTATCATTGATTGTCTGTCTCGAATTATATATAAAAGCTGGCTCAAGCGGGCAATACTCAATACATTAAAATTAAAAAAATAAAATAAATTGACAGTTGCAGTTTCACCGTTGACGTGACATCTTGACATAAACTTTAGTTTCCTAAATAAATGTTAAAATAATTTATTATTCTTGGTAATAACCAAGTCCTACGCAACACTTCTAAAACTGAAATGGCTAACTGTGGTGATTTTATTAAAAGTCAATTTCCTTTGATAGACGATGATCTTAAAAAATATGTGGAAGGTACGTTTTTAGAGGTTAGAAAACGATGAAATTATTTCTTTGTAAAAGTTAATGAAAGTACTCAGAAAGTTTTATTAATTTCGTTTTGTCATTTCTTTTACATTTTTAAGTTACTTCTAAAATTCTGAGATAAACCGTGTTATATCTAATGTCTATTTAAAGTAAGTGATATTTTTGTTTTTAGATATCTTAGACAACAGTGCTGGAGAATTTGAAGATACCGAAGAAATTTATGAAGCTGTCGGTGAAGTTTTACAAGGAATATCAGAAAAGTCAGAAAATGACATTAGGTAAGACAATTTCCTGAAATTTAATCATACACCAATAATTTTGCAAAAAAACAATATTCATAATACTTTTTAAGTGTTACAAAACAGCAATTTACTGTTATAATTTTGTTCTAGGGATATATGTGAGCAATTATTACATATGCTTCAACCTGACAAGACAGGAAATATAAATGGTCCCAGGAAAGTTCTTGATGCTCCAATACATTTGGCTTCCATGACAACAACTACAAATGATTCTGAAGAACTTAAGAGTATATGGTTGCAGACCAGAGATGATAATTTTGTAAGCAACTTTCAATTTTATCTATATGTGAATTAAACATTGAATACAATTTGCCTCTAAATGCAGAATAAAAGACCGCTAAATTTAAGAATGTCAATAACATCTTTATACATATTAACAAACTAACCCGTTAATTAGACATCGGAATACATTGTTTGATGTCATAGTTGCCACTCAATTGTAAAACAGTAATTATATTTAGGTATTTTTTTACAGAAAGTAGACGCTAAAAAATTAGAGAAGGCTGAGGCTAAATTACAACAGAAACAGCAAAAGCAGAAAGATGCCAAAGTACCAATTGCAGCCCCAGTTTTACAAACTGCCACCGCATCACAGGTCACATCCAAGAAGGACAGCAAGTTAGAAGCAAAGGGCACTAACAGAACACAAGATATAAGGATAGAAAACTTTGATATTGCCTATGGTGACAGGTATGTTTAATATATGATGCAGACAGAGATATGCTTTATTTATCATATTATCCGTCACCTGCAACTCTGTCCGCACAGAATTAAAAGAAAACTTCATAGTCTATGTAGTCTTCAAGACTATGTTTTAGATCTGACATGCCATTTGGCATAGATGTAAAACATAGTCTTGAAGATAAGTCTGATATTTATCAGCCAGATCCATGAAGCTGTTCAAAAAATTAATATCTTACTGTTTTCTAGTGTGGTTTAAATTTTTAAAGGTACTTAGAATAATAATAACAAAAGTAATTAATGTATTTTACAAACAATTTTTATAAAAATTTAATTAAAAACACTCATATTATTTTTCACCCTACTTATTAGCCTTATTCTACAAGTCTCAAGGCTGTAAATCAATTAAAATGCTTAGAATAATACAATTATTTAACCAAATATGAAATTTATACAGCATTGTCTACTCAAAGTACAATATTTTTCTAATACCGCATAATTTTCAGAGTATTATTACAAGGGGCAGATCTTGTTTTGGCATTTGGTCGAAGATATGGCTTGGTCGGAAGAAATGGTCTCGGTAAAACAACATTATTGAGAATGATATCAGCGAAACAGTTGAAAATACCTTCACATATATCTATATTGCACGTAGAACAAGAAGTAGTTGGTGATGATACGTTAGCATTACAGAGTGTTCTAGAATGTGATACAGTAAGAGAGGATTTAATAAGAAGAGAAAAAGAAATAACAATAGCTATTAATAACGGGTAAGTACACAAACATATAACCTTTTTCTCAATCACTACCAGTCATTGTATGACTCACATATTCAATGAAAAATATTTCCAGGATATTTTCAAGTGTATGATTTATTATTTTCCTTAAGTTTAAATTTATTTTCATAACAATTGTAATAAGTAACCATTATTAATAACAAATAACCATCGAACAATGCTGAATGAGACCATTAAGTCTTGTAATATTCATAATAATCATCCTCATCATCTCACTACATGTCCCTACTGAGGGACTCGAGGTAAAAACTCCTTAGTGTAAGTTAAACTTATAATTTGTTTTATTGTAGATCAACAGACCCATCATTATCAACAGAGTTGAGTGAAGTATATGCCCAGTTAGAAAATGTAGAGGCTGACAAAGCGCCAGCGCGTGCTTCAATAATCCTTAGCGGTCTAGGTTTTACCACAGAGATGCAGAACAGAGCAACCAGAACATTCTCCGGTGGCTGGAGAATGAGGCTTGCGTTAGCCCGTGCGTTGTTTTCTAAGTAAGTTGATATTAATACTAGCTGTCGCTCGTAAAACTTAATTAGTAGCCTATGTGTTCTTCCAGACTATCTATTACATCTAGGTCAAATTACAGCAAGATTTGTTAAGTGGTTCTAGAAGGGAATACCTTCTAAGAAATAGTTGCTTCACTAAAATACAATGCAGATTTGTTATGTGTTTATAAAAAGTCTCATATATAGTACAATATACATAATGGAAGTTAAATAATAAATATTATGTAAATATAATAATGCATATTCATAAACTATATCTTTCCATACGAACTTATGATGCAATACAAAACAAGTGTGTTATCATATACCTGTATTATCAAAAAAGCTATTTTAATGCTATTCACTGAGGTTAGATTAAACCTGTTCTTATAGCAGTGTGTAGTAAATAAAAACATAAATTGTAAATATAACTTGATTCTACGTTTAAATTCTTATAATATACAAAGTAAGGAAATATTTCTTTTCTATAATGTAATAGAAAAAGTACCCAGAAAACGTAATTAGTAAACGTAGTTACCCAGAAAAAGTAATTTATATATTAAAAAATATGAAAATATTAATGGATTCTTAGCTTTTACTAAATATGGAAATTTATCGACTGTTATCTAGACTACATTGGGAGTCAAGGATTTTACTTTGTATCAATACGCCA